TTTATTTAAGTTATCTATATATTAAGTTTTTTATATATCCACGCGGACGGAGTCGTTTGCGACAGCTAGTATCTTATGAAACATATAGCGAATTTATTACTGCAAAATGATCTCAATATAATTATATTAAAGCAAAACAAACGAACAGCTTTATTTTCCAAGTATTTTCGTTGTTATAAATCAATTTCAAATTTGACTTATAGTTTTCCTGTCCTATTCAAAATATTGTCAATGTACGTTGCATTTTCAATTTTAACACCATGTAATAGGGTTTTGTTTTATTTGTGAGATAGAACAAAAGATTTTAAAACGAAATAATCATTTCTCATCGGAACAAAGAGCTGTCAGGAGAAGGGAACTATGTTGAAACAGGCGCTAGTGTGTGGCTATTAGTTTATATTAAAATAAATTTTAAACGTCGTCCACTCATTAAATATATATCTATCAATAATTAGATTAATTGTATTTAAGTAAGAACATAATTGTTGATTATTTATTGGTAAATTTGAAGAAATATCTTGGATATTATTAGACAAAATTTAATTATTAATTTTCTCGAACTTAATACATGAAGTCAGTAAAAATATTAACGATATGGTTTCTTCATCGTCTAGCTTACCAACGTTAGGTGTGACTAGACCATAGTCAACCACGCTAGCCCAGTGATGGTTGACTTCACGTACCTTTGTATCTCTACTCAGATACAGTGCAGGTTTAATACGATGTTTCCTACACTGTAAGGACATCGGATAAATGTAGGTACTCGTACATATAAAATTGAAAAATTGAAAAACATAGTGTGTGGCGGGGATCGAACCTGGACGTGTTAGATTACAAAGTTAAGTGTTTAACAACTGCACCACTGACGCTTCTGAGTATTTTAGTTAGTTTAGTACATAATCTGAGATTTAGTGGCCCCAAGCGTATTATAAAGTCGTCTTATTTTCTAGCTAATTAATGTAATAACCCTCATACGTTGTCTTACCAGCCACATCTTTTATTTACAACACATTACATTTAAACGATACGTTTAATAAACAAAAGAGAAAAGGAAAAGAGAAGGAAATAAGCAAATAATACATCGATGAATTATGACGTAGATGGAGTTCAATAATATAATAAATCGTGTAATAATATCGTCGGTAAAGAAGGCCGGTCTGTTTATTCACCGGCGTCCAATCAAGGTAATGCGGCCGGAGTGGACAGAGGCCTCAGTGACGCACATTGGACGCAAACATACTGGACTGTGTACAATACCCACCATACTATATTGTGTACACCGTACTCTAGTGTGTACACGGTAGTCTGAACTGTGTACAGAATGGCGAATTAATATTTTGTTGTTCCGGCCCAATTGAATTAGGATTGTACCTCGAGCAATCGATACGATCAAAAATTCTTAAATCACCTTAGGGATTTTCTCAGGAACTTTAATTGACTATTCCTATAATTTATACTAGAACTAGCTGTCGCCCGTGACTCTGTCCGCGGGAAATAAAAAAAATACATTTTTATGCACATTTCATCGCGAGCGGTCGAGCAGTTCTGGAGATGTCTTCTCACATGCATCTAACCTTTTGCATTTATAATATTAGTATTAAGCATTCTTGTGTATAGTTGCTTGATCTAAGGTTCAACTTTATATTAATATTTTAAAATAGGTTTATATATATTTTATAAAGAATATTCCAAATCGTTTATTTATCAAATTACAAAGTATTTATAAAAGTAAGCGCAAAAAGTAATAGTCGGATGTTTTATCCTTGCTTCCGATGAGACAAAAACGACAAAAATCTAAAAGCATTTTATTGAAGACGACAACGATTTTTAAAAGAAATCGGGACAATACAACAGACTTGAAATAGATTAAAAATTGTATTTTTCTTTACAATATTTTTACAATAAAATTTAATTATTACAAAATCCTGATCTTCACACTTTATTATATTAACGT